ATCATTTTTCCAGTTTCTTGCAAAAATTAACCTTGCTGATGTAATCATTATTACTATTAAGTCCTTATTTTCTTGCAACAATTGATCTTTTTTAACCAAATTCAATAAAGCCGTTAACGGGAACATTTGAATATTTAAACCACTTATTTCACTTGTTTCTTTAAAAATTGGATTCTATTCTTGCTTTCTGCCACCTGTCCTGAACTGCAACCTCCTCCTTCTCCTCTTAGAGACTGACAGCTGGAAGGGACGCCCTGGATCATCCAGTCCAGCTCTTGCCAAGGAGGCCTAGCAGGGAATCAAACTCCTGACCTCTGGCTCCACATCCCTCTTTTCACATTGACTGGTTTGAGGAGCCTTAACATTTACGTATTTCAGCATGCATCAGAAGGCTGACTGGATGTTTTGGCTCTTCCACACATTCCCCATCAAGAAATGATTACATTTTCATTGGAAGGGGGAATGCGGCATTTTAGGTGATGATTCTTGTGCCACCTTCAGGATGAACAGTTTTTATTTGGGACAAGCTCTCATGGACTGCAGTCCCCTTACATGAGACAGGGAACTGGGCAGTTTATGGCACATAAAAGTAGATAGATTTCAGGAGCCCCACAAGACCTCCATGCTTTGCATGCTTTCACTCATGGATGATTCTTCTCCCTAGATTCATGAGTGAACCGGTTTTCTAGACGAGGTGGATGGAAGACTGATCCTCTCCAGACATGGTACAGTACCTTTCAGCTCCTTGCTAGTTTAGAGAAAGCTATTTCTGTGGATCTCTGTGAGAGCCAGAAGGTACTTGTGAAAGGTATTTCCCTGGCTTGACCTGTCCTCTCCAAGAGAACACAGTTCTTGTTTATCTTAGGTCAGGCCAGAGAAATCCCCATCAGATGGTGGAAAGGGTAATGCTATTTCTTTTGTGTCAACTTTCCTTGGAAAACTGTTGTCCAAAAGGCTTCGTAATTTCTTGGCGAACTCTGCCAATACCATCTTCTCTCTTCCCGTGGTGTATGTTTATTGATATCCTCATTCAACACCCCGTGGCTGGCAAAACGGAGGGGTAAATGACTAAAATTCTGGGAATAAGGGCCATGACTGCATTTCAAGAGGTCTGTTGGGGATCCTGTTGACTCTTTCCCCTTCCCCCTTTTCCCCATCTAGATAAGGATTGCAGCATTGAATGCCAGCTCCACTGTTGAAGACGACCATGAGGGGACCTTTAAAAGTCACAAAACCCAGACAAAGGAGGCTCAAGTAAGCAAAGTCCAGTTCTAGCCCTCGACTCTTGAGTCCTTCTGGGAATGGAAATTCCATGGGACAATTTGGGTTGAGTCAGAGATGATGGCTTCCCACGATCACAGAGGAGCTCCAGGCTTGCACTCTCCTGCAGTCCCACGTAACTGTGAAGAAGAGATCCGTAGCTTTTGCCTCTGCCTCCAAGATAAGCACACGTTTGCCATCTCCCTAGGGGACAGTGATCTCTTTAAACTGTGTTTTCAGAAAAAGCTGGGATCTCAAGCTGCCATGTGCTGTTTCCATCCTCTCTCTGTAAACCAGCTGATAGATGGTCAGACTCAATATATTTTCAGAATAACAGCAGCGCCAGAGATTTGACTGGGATTGGCTACCTGTCTATCTGCAGAACAAAGACCAAACTGTAGAGCTTGCTGAAAAACACTATAAAATCTAGTTGCAGATGGATTTGTTTCTACAGTGTGTCCGCATTGTCTTACAGGGTAATTTAAGCAAAAGTGTAAGTGGCCACATCCTGAAAAGTTATCGTGAGCAGAGCATCCATCCTATCAGACTTTTCTGTTAAGGATGCAGCTGTGACAATAGGGCTGTCAGGGGATGCTTCTGTCCCACTGGAAGCAAAGCGCCGCGCTTCTCCCTGCAGTAGGTGGCTGTGGAGTTTTTCTCCCTTTGGGAGCAGAGCAGTTTTAACACGTTGTGCGCACTGGGGAGAATTTTCCCTCTTTGAGGAAAATGTACTTGACAAGAGTCCCCCTCTTGATTTCTAGGAAGCCGAAGCATTTGCCCTGTACCATAAAGCGCTGGACCTTCAGAAGCACGACCAGTTTGAAGACTCTGCCAGAGCTTACCATGAACTTCTGGAGACTCGCCTCTTGCGAGAGGTCAGCAAAAGGGCACCGTTGTTAGGAAAACCTTCCTCTCATTAGGCCGTGAGAGTCTCCTTCATCCTTTGTAATGGCTCAGATGGAGGGCGGTCTTTTCCGGCACCTGCTGCCTGGTTTTTTTTCCTCTTTTTTTTAAAGAGAAACTGGGAACATCCCAGGAGGGATCTCGTGCAGTTCTAGGCCCTGCTTTGAGCTCTGTTCCCTTCTCGGTCTGAACCAGGAAGGGCTGTTCCTTGCCCTGCCAGGCCAGGCGAGTTCTCGGTGGGTTTAGTTCCCTTTGCTGGAAAAGAGCTGCTCGAGGAACCTCTATTTAACTTTGTTTCTTTTAATACTTCTCTCCTTTAGGAGAAAGGCACCATATAAGTATTTAAATAAATAATAAAGTAGTGAGTCTTTGGTCCCTAGAAGGGAAGAGGCGTCACTGTCATCCACTCCCCAGTGATGCTGGCTTTTGGGCCCATTAATTCTTGAACTGTTTTGTGCTGATTGGAATTTAGTTGGGGGCCTTGCTTTGCTTCTCTTAGACTTGCTTGGGTGGCCTTGAGAACTATCTCCCAATGACTTTTAGCTCATTCTTCGTTATTAAAAAAAGACTTTGTCACTAAGCGGGTTTCCTCCTTTATAACGTTCAGGCCGTTCCGTCTGGTGATGAGAGAGAAGGGCTGAAGCATCCTGGCTTGATGCTGAAGTATTCTACTTACAAAAACCTGGCCCAGCTGGCTGCACAGCGTGATAGTTTTGAGACCGCCATGGAGTTCTACTTGGAGGTACAAGGTTTCCCCCCATTCAGGAGGGCAGCTATTCCGGTCTTGTGTGGGGCTGAGGCCAGAGCAGAAAGGCCCACAGTCTGTTTTGTGATACTCAGCCACAGGGTCCGTTCCCCATATGAATGCTCCGTGGTGGCTTTCCTTCCATGAGCACCAGAGGGCGACACCCTGATTTCCTGATTTGCACCCACCGGCTCCTCTTTGAGTGCCAGTGCCGCCAAAGAAGCATTTCCCCCCCCCACGGGAAGAGAGCAGACAACGGGCCAGGAGTCACACGTGGTCTCTTACACACACATTATTAGAGGCCTGTTCTTTCCCTCATTGGTTACAGGCCACATAAAGAGATCTGCTTCTGGGACACAAGGTTTTTGTTCTGAAGTGATAATTTTATAACAGATATTACTTTTTGGAAACACAAGAGTTTTGAATGTTCCTGGGGCCCGTGGGAACCTCCTGTGCTTTGCAGCTCCAATCCGAGTTTGCTTTTTCCTGGCTCTGCCTTGGGCATGACGTGTCTTGTGCTTCCCAGGCTGTGATGCTGGACTCCACGGATGTCAACCTGTGGTACAAGATTGGCCGTGCGGCGCTCCAGCTGACGCGCCTGCCCCTGGCCCGCCATGCCTTTGAGGAAGGGCTCACATGTAATCCGGATCATTGGCCGTGCTTGGACAACCTCATCATGGTCCTCTACACGCTCAGTGACTACACAAGTGAGCCGCGCTCCATTTGTAGGATCCGATGCAGGCTGTTCTTGGTTTCGGGTGTCCTTTGGGGCTGGGCTGAGCAGCCAGAACCGGGCCTGCCCAAAAATCCATATTAATGTACTTGTGAAGGCATTCACGGCCGGGATCTAATGGTTGTTGTGGGTTTTTCAGACTCTGATGTCCTCTGAAGATGCCCATGGCCACAGAGACTGGCAAAACGTTAGGAAGAACAACCTTCAGAACACGGCCAAAGAGCCCGAAAAACCCACAACAACCATTAATCCATATTAACTTGGGAGATAACTCTGGTCACTGCCTTGGCCGTCTGAGATGTTTCACCGATTTCCTGCCAGGGGTGTTATGCGAGGAATGGCCTGGTGGGGCTGTTGTGTAGGTGGGGGAGCCATTCATGCAAAATGCTTCACCCTCAGATCCTCATTTGCCGGGGGGGGGGGGAGAGCAGAGAAAAGAGTTGGGGCACAATGGAGGAACGGAAATAACAGTTCTAGCAAGAAAAGGAAATTGTGTATTTTTCATGGGAAAGAGCAGGTGACGCTGCCTGAGATTTGCTTCTGTTCCTTCCCCCAGCTTGCTTGTATTACATCTGCAAAGCCCTGGAGCGGGACTGCCAGTACAGCAGAGGACTGGTGCTCAAGGAGAAGATTTTTGAGGAGCAGCCATGCCTCCGGAAGGACTCCCTCCAGATGTTCCTGAAAGGGTGACTTGGCTTTGGAGTCGAGAGGGAGGGGTGAGGGTGGGGAGCAGCCCCCCCCTGCAAGGTTTGGAATGGTACCTCCAGAAAATCCCTCCCTACTGGCAGTGCTGGCGGGGACACCCAACCCCCCCCCTGAAATGGCAGGCTAAAATAGAATACAATAAATTAAAATAAAATAGTACATGACTGGAGGAGCACAGTCACCCACCCTCTTCCGCAGACACGATCACACTCCGTTTTGCCAGCAGGGGAAGCTCAGGGAAGCCTCTGTGGGTCTGCTTTCCTGACAGTTCTCTAGCCCCATTTGGAAAGCCAACGATCCTTTGCTTTGCAGGGGGATTACATTTCTGGTGTTGCAGACTCGTGCTCCTTTTTTCCTGTTGGAGTTCAGTAATGAGCTGTTGCATACTAGGTCAAGAGTCCCACCTAAATGCAAGTGATTGCTGTATCTACTGAAAACATTTACACAGGAGTTCCTGAGGCACATCCTTTTATTTTGTGACTAGTGTTGCTCCGGGAACTTCATACTGTGAAGGAACCGGTATTTGTTTTTGTCAGCACATTGGCTTCCTTGGACTTAACAACCAGTGTGATATGTTTGCCTGGAGGTTAATTTCTCTTGTGAGGGACAAGGTGTGTGTTCCCAGTTGCTTCTGGGGCGTGCGGTGACCGAATGCAAGCCCCGATTTGCTGCCCACTGAGAGCTCGTCTCCAGGCATCTGTGCAGAGCTGGTAAGGGAGGGCTGCCTCTGCTGTTGGAAACACAACTCGTACTGGAAGCGACCACGGTGGGGAGACACGGCAGCATTCCTGCAGCGCTTTCAGGAGAGCTGATGTTTGGAGAGCCGCTCCACTTCCTGCAGTGGGCTTCCAGTGTTGCTCTTTGTCTGGTTTTGAAAGAATCCGGCGACACTTTAACCGGCCTGTTTCCCTCCCTTGCTCAGTGACATGTCAATCCACGAGGTCAGCGTGAGTGCGGCTGAAACACGAGCCATCCTGGAGGAAGTGCAGGAGCTGCGCAGGAAGAGGCGGGCTCTGCTGGTGCGGAAAAGCGAGCCGGACCTGAAACTTACCCAGCCCATTTCGGTTTTCACGTACGTCTCACCTCTGGGTTGAGCCATTGCCTGCTTACGGTTTAGGTTAACCTTTGCAATGATTCTTCCAGCCGAGCTTTCTTCTGGGAGCTTCCATGGGGAGCAAGGGGTGTGTGTGTGTGTGTGTGTGTGTGTGTGTGTGTGTGTGTGTGTGTGTGTGTGTGTGTGTGTGTGTGTGT